TTTGTACAGCTGACCTTTTAGTTCAAACTGACCTTGTGATTCAGTGCTTACCCTACAGCACCACAGTAGGACTCCAGATATAGGTATATATAGATATATAAATGTTTCTTTATTTTCTTGGCTTTAGCCAGGACAACCTGCTCTTCTGATTGATCGAATGTGAAACCAGCCCATCTGCTTTCTCTGGAATGCTCATAATCAACAGCTGGCCAAAGGGAACAGGTGGGATAGGAAACAAGAAGTATGTAGGGGCTCTAAAGAGGCTCACTTTTCTCATGTTGCCAGCAACGAGCAAGAAGTTATTTTCCTTTAGCCCCCTCCGTTTGCACCCTGTGATAGCAAGAGAAATAAGAGAGGAAGGGAAAAGGAAAACCAGTCTACAGTTGAATAGCTATTTCCCATGCTTTGGGTGGGGCATCTGGGCTCTCAAAACTAGGTATAAAGCTTCACTCAGTTCACAATAAAAAGTTTAAAAAACAAACAAAAAACTAGATATAGGTTGTATTTTCTTTCCACATACCAGAACCCACGGTATGGGACTAAGTGATTCCAAGGTTGTAAAAATAGTGGCATCAGGGTGTATGGCCTCCTCTCACTTCAGGAGAGAGAGAAGAGAGGATCACCAGCAGCATATCAGGCTAAGGTGGATACCTGCGAATTGGAAGTCAGACATACCTCCTCTCTTCAATCTTTTTACCAGCCATCCCTCCATGGCTCTCTGCTTCTCTACTGATACAGTGGCCACATAGAACTCAGAGACTGCATTCCCAGTTATTAGGTTTATTAGGGAAGTAACAGGTTGTAATGCATGTGAAAATAGGACAATGAATAAGGACCACAGAAGAATTGACGCATTTGAATTATGGTGTTAGAGAGTAATGTTAAAAGTACCATGGACTGTCAGAAGAATAAACAAATCTGTCTTGGAAGAAGTGCAGCCAGATTCTCTTTAGACACCAGGATGGCAAGATTTTGTCTCTCAGACTTTGGACATGTTATCAAGAGGGACCAGTCCTTGGAGAAAAATACCATGCTTGGTAAAATGGAGGGTCAGTGAAAAGAGGAAAACCGCCAACCAGATAGATTGACACGAAGGCAGCAGCAGTGGGCTCAAACGTCACAATTGTGAAGATGGTGCAAGACTGGGCAGAATTTCATTCTGTTGTGTGTAGGGTTGTTATGAACCGAAACTGACTCAAGGGCACCTAACAACAACAGGTTGTAATTGAGGATCAGGAATGACTCCGGATATAGTTCTTTGATCAGGACAGCCTCTTCACATCCATTCCTGCAGGCAGGCCTTTCTCAGACTCTGGCCTTGGCAACTCCTATGCTCAGGCAAATGTTATAAAGTTTTTTAGTTCCGCCAATAAATGCCCAGAGGCATCCTACTCTGCCAGTTAACCTCAGCCCAAAGATGATCAGTCTCTCACTCCATGAGTTGGCAAGCCTAGCTTAGTCACCAAGTGCCTAGAGGTACCTGCAAGCACCAGAAGCCTCCTGCCTGAAGGCAATCTGCTCTTTTGCTGCCTTGGTCAGTATATCCACTGTGGTAGCCTCACTATGTGAGTCAAGCCCAACACGCTGGCTTGTGCTGGTCTCCTAGTTCTGCTGCCACCATTTCTCTATCACTGCTTCTCGCTGTCTTGCACTGTCTCTGTTGTTAAGCTTTCTCCCTCTCACACTTGGTCTCTGTCTTCTTAGTTCAAAGGACGTGACGTGCTTCACTCCTGTCTCTTCTTGGTGGTAGTGAGGTTCCCCTGTACTCAGGGATTGGTTCTCTTTTAAGCGTAGTTTTTGTTGTCATATGCCATTATGTCAGTTCCAACTCACAGCAACCCTGGATAGGATTTCCAAGGAACGGCTGGTGAGTTTGAACCATTGACCTTATGGTTCAAACTGACCTTATGGTTGAGTGTTTATTTTACAGTTCCATACCAGGACTAGTGGAATGGCAAAACTGACCAGTTTCCTCCTTAGGGTTCTATAACCATATTGTCATGGTCCCAATGGCACATAACCACCATCACTACCACCCAAACCCACCCCCACAAGGATTCCATGTACCTTATTTACATTCTTATTAGACTTCCCAATCCTTTTGCTAGGCCACAAGTATCTTATTTGCATAGAGTCACACAATCATCGTGTAGGAGTCACAAAGACTCTAACATGGCTATGGTGGTGGTTGTGTACCATCAAGTTGGTTCCCACTCATAGCAGCCCTGTATAGTGTTTCAGAGGCTGTAAATCTTTATGGAGCAGAAAGCCTCATCTTTTTCCCACAGAGCAGCTTCAAGATTTGAACTGTTGGCATTATGGTTAGCAGCCCAACTCACAGCCCTTGTTACCAGGGCTTCTCATAGCTGCTGCTGCTGTTAGAGGATCAGTGAAAAGACTTCCAGTGATCCTGAATTACAGCCTATTGTTACATGCCATCGAGTTGGTTCCGATTCATAGCGACCCTGTGTAGGATTTCCCAGAAGCAGCTGGTGGGTTTGAACTGCCAACTTGTGGTTTGTAGTCCAGTGCTGATCCTACAGCGCCATACCAGGAGTCCCCTCATATGGCTTCTTGTTGTTAGAGTGCCATCAAGTCAGTTTTGACTCATAACAACCTTATATAGGGTTTCTGAGGAATAGCTGGTGGGTTTGAACTGCCGATCTTGTGGTTCACAGTCCAGTGCTGATCCTACAGTGCCAAACTAGAAGTCCCCTCATATGGCTAGGAGGGTTATATTAAGTAAATCAGTACACTGTAAAGTATATGTTTCCCTTTTCTTTAGGAGATAAGCCTCTCAATATTTCTACCTTAGGTTTACTGAGGAAGAGCAGACCAGGTCCCATTTGCTCTTCAGCTTTCAGTACCCCTTGGCTCTTGGCTCTTCTGAAGTAGCTTATAATTTTATTCTCTTACCCTAGCCTCAGAGTCCTGATGTGGTGCTATAGGATATCACTGAGCTGCAAGGCTGGTTTGAACCTCAAGGTTGGCAGTTCATATCCACTAGCTGCTCCACCAGGGTCGCTATGAGTTGGAACTAACTTCATGGCATTTAACAACAACAACCTAGCCTCAGTTTTTCTTGGTGTGTATAAAATTGGCACAGCAAACTATCTTATTGTTGAGTGGGGTACTTTTAGGTTTCATAGCGTTGCAGTAGTTTTATAGAGTAGAGGAGGCTGTGGTTAGCCAGGCTATATGCATGGTCACTGAGTTGCGTGCATTTTTAATGGGACCCTCTCATTCTTGGACTTATGTGAGTTGGTTTCTTAATAAGAGTTCAACAACAGAGCTCTATTCATTGCTATGCACTAGGGATATCGAGATGAGTATGACTTAGTCTTTCTCCATGAGTAGTTTAATGTCAGCCTCTCTCCTTGAGTAGCTTAAGGTCTAATGGAATAATAAATGTACACATAATTCCAATACACCTTGATAGAGGCTTCAAAGGAAATATGCACAGGATTCCATCGGAACACAGAGACTCCTTTTCCCAGCATAGGGGTGTAGAGAATGCATTTTGAAAAAGGCATCTGAACTGATTCTTAAACAATGACTTTGAGTTAGCCAGGACATTTGCAGTAGAGGTGGAAAGATGGGGAAGGTTTGAGAAATATTTAGAAGTAGTATTAATAGGACTTTATTTACAATTGGGTGATTGGAAGTTGTGGTCAGATTATAGAGTAGTGTTGGGTACTATTGTCTGGCAGGGTCATAATACATGCGAGTGACTACAGTAGAGGTGACAGTTGCTTGACTTAAAGATTGCTTATTGGCTGCATCATTGACATTACCAATATCAAACCAGGAAGATGGAAGACCTTTGTAAATCAAATGCCAAATTATTTAATGAGTTAAAGGGTGGTGATTGGTCATTGACCAGGAATTGGTAAGTGGCAACCAAAAGGAAAGACTAGGAGGTAGTACACTCAAATGGTGTGAGCATCAAGAAAGTGCTAGTGGTGTAAGAGGATTATGAGAATTCAACATCGTTTAATAAAATGTTTTTTGGATTTAAGTTTTCAAGTTTGATTAATCTTAATGAACAGCTATGCTTCTGGACTTGGCAGGGTTGTATAAAAAATGAGGATACATTTGAAGAAAGATACTTTTTTGGGTTGTAGAGGTCAAGGATACAATGGGATTTTTTAAAGTTTTCCATACAATGGAAAAATATAATTAAAAGATAGTGTAATGTGTCTACTAACTTTTTGAACCCCTTCATATCTTTGAACTCTCTTTTACAACCATAAGGCTTTATAGTTTACAAAATGATTTTATATATTTTTCTCATTTGATTCTTAACTCTGAAAAGTAGGTTCTTTCATCCCTATTTTATAGAAGAGGATACTGAGACTTTGAAGCTAATGATTTGTTTAAGGTCACACAGCCAAACAGCTTTTTAATGATAGAATTGAAATTAGTTATAACAATAATGATTATCAGTTTCCCTATTGTCAGCCCCTAAGTACATCTGGAGGGAGCCCTGGAGGTACAATGATTAAATACTCAGCTACTAATCGAAAGTTTGATGATTTCTCACTCAGCAGAGCCTCAGACCTGGCAGTCTGCTTCCATAAAGATTATAACTTAGAAAACACTATGGGACAGGTCTGTTCTGTCCTATAGGGTTGCCGTGAGCTGTCATTAACTCGATGGCACACAGCAGCAACATTAGATGCCGCTACCATGTTGTTAGAGTGAAGAATGAATTCTTAACTTCCTCATAATATTGCATGTTTAGGAGGTAACTAGTTTAAAGGACAGAATTCTCCAAGGACCAACAGCAGTGTTTTTGGCATCAGGAGAAATATTCTGCCTAATATCTAATAGCAACTTTTGCTGAATATGTAGCACTAAAATTGCATGCAACATCCTCATTTAGAAGTGGCTATATTATGTGACTCCAGTGGAGTCTGGACTTAGAAGGCACCAGCTATTGGGTATGGGCAGAGAGCTTGAGGTCCATGATGTTTTCATTGTTTGTTATTTCATTGTTAATTTAGATACACTTTTAGCACTACACACTGTCAGGCATTGTGTTAGGCACTGGGATATAGGAATGAATAAGTCACTGAGTGGCTCACAGGTTCCTTTTCTATCTTTACAGTATAGTGGGGATTGCAGCTGCTGAGCAGGGATTCTGGAAAGCACTGCATACCTGAGCCCCCAGCATGGCGGGCTTAAAGCGGCAGGCAAGCCAGGTGTGGCCAGAAGAGCATGGTGAGCAGGAGCATGGGCTGTATAGCCTGCACCGCATGTTTGACATCGTGGGCACTCACCTGACACACAGAGATGTGCGCGTTCTTTCCTTCCTCTTTGTTGATGTCATTGATGACCACGAACGTGGTCTCATCCGAAATGGACGTGACTTCTTATTGGCGCTGGAGCGCCAGGGCCGCTGTGATGAGAGTAACTTTCGCCAGGTGCTGCAGCTGCTGCGCATCATCACTCGTCATGACCTGCTGCCCTACGTCACCCTCAAGAGGCGGCGGGCTGGTGAGGGTGCATTGGGGCTGGGACACTGGAATCAGGGAGACTTGGGGGCCAGGAGTGAGGAACATGAGTCCAAGGGGAGGAGGCCTTGACCCTGGGGAGTACCTAGGAGAAGAAATTATAAAGCCCGTTGTAGGGTTGGATTGGGAGGAGGAGGAATGTGTCTTTTCCTGAATGACTTCCCTCTATTACCCCTACAGTGTGCCCTGATCTTGTAGACAAGTATCTAGAGGAGACGTCAATACGCTATATGACCCCCAGAGCCCTCAGTGATCCAGAACCGAGACCTCCCCAGCCCCCCAAAACAGGTGAGATTTTTAATTCCCCTTAACATCCATGATCAAGAGGACATTAATCCCATTACATTCTCAGCTTTGCTTTCTTAAATGAAAAGATGCTTTCCCCTCACATCTAGCCTCACAAAAATCAGGTGAGGTCTTACTACTTCACTTAGCTCCTGTAATTACTCCTACCTTGTCAAGTCACATTATTGACAATGCTTTTAGTGCTAAATAGAAATTATTTATTCCTCAGTCCAAGAGAAGTATTTGAATTTGTGCTTTTACCTTTCTATCTCTTCTCCCCTTTATTCTCTGGTCAGTGCCTCCTCACTATCCTGTGGTGTGCTGCCCTACTTCAGGCCCCCAGATGTGTAGCAAGAGGCCAGCCCGAGGGAGAGCCACACTTGGGAGTCAGCGAAAACGCCGGAAGTCAGTGACACCAGATCCCAAGGAAAAACAGACATGTGGTGAGCAAATCCAAGGGTTTCAGAGGTGGAATAGACTTGAGGGGAAAAAGAAATACTTTCTAGGATACTGGGCTTTTTATGCTACTTAGTACAAGGATCACTTAGATTGTTGTTAGAAATGGAGGTTGAGTGGTGTGTCCAGAATTCCCCTCTATCTTTGTGGCGTATGTTTCAATTCTTCTTAGTTAATACTAGGTTATGATGTTAATGTTATGATGATAATATCCCTATTGTGGTGGTGGTGATGGTAGTTGTGTACCGTGGAACTGGTTCTGACTCATAGCAACCCTGTATAGGGCTTCTAAGGCTGTAAATCTTTATGGAAGCAGAAAATCTCATGTTTTTCCTGTGGAATGTCTGGTAGTTTCAAACTGCTGACCTTGAGGTTAGCAGCCCGACTCGTAATCTAATCACTGTGCTACCAGAACCAAGTCAGGATGGAGTATTAAAATAGTGAACTTCTGTGCCCATTAGGAATTGCTCTCCATTTAAGCCAGGTGCTACTTGTGAGTGATGGGAATAATGCTGTTCTGTGCATGTTCCATTTACGTGAATCCCCTACATTCAGGCAAGGATTCAGAGGTACCTAGAAAAAAACTAGTCCTGCACGTGAGGTTGAAAAGCTGTCAGATAATGCTCCCTACTTTGCTACTCTGCTGTTCTTTTCCATCTTCCAAACTTGTGCTATAAACTCATCCCTTGTTGTAACCTCTTTTCCCCATTCTCTTCCTCATAGATATCAGACTGCGGGTTCGGGCTGAATACTGCCAGCACGAGACTGCTCTGCAGGGCAATGTCTTCTCCAACAAGCAGGACCCACTTGAGCGCCAGTTTGAACGCTTTAACCAGGCCAACACCATCCTCAAATCCCGGGACCTGGGCTCCATCATCTGTGACATCAAGTTCTCTGAGCTCACCTACCTCGATGCATTCTGGCGCGACTACATCAATGGTTCATTATTAGAGGCACTTAAAGGTGTCTTTATCACAGACTCCCTCAAGCAGGCTGTGGGCCATGAAGCCATCAAGCTGCTGGTGAATGTGGACGAGGAGGACTATGAGCTGGGCCGACAGAAACTCCTGAGGAACTTGATGCTGCAAGCATTGCCCTGACCTTTCCCCTTCTCTCTGGGAACTATTTCCACCACCCACCTTTGGAGCTTACATACTGTTCTGGGGTTTGTTCTCTACCCTTCTAGTCACATCCCCTGCCTTTTTTGTTTTTTAAAAAAGGAAAAGACCAAGGAAAATGGAAGTGGTGTCCCTCACCTTTCCCTGCACCCACGTGCCTGGGTTTCCCCTTTGTTTCCCTTTTCCACTTACCCCCAATGTGTCTGTACAGCCACTTTACCGCTGAGCCGTAAGACAAATGCGTAGGGAGAAGAAACGTTCTATAGAACATAGTCTTTATAAGGGATTGAAGTGAACACTGCTTCCGGGTGCATTGAGGGGTTATCAATACTTCTGGCTTTATGAGGGCTCTTAAATTTCGTCTGAAAAACCAAAGGGCCTGTGAGTGAGTAAGGGAGCTATATGGAAGGCGGAACTCTGAAGTGTACTTTGGAGTTTAATCATCACCCTCTCCCAAATTACATAATTTTTAAAAAAAAAAGAAACAGAAGCTGTGGCCCTTTCCACTCTCTCCTGGCCTCTGGTGCTGCTCCTCTCTGCCTCCTCTCCTCCAGTCCAAGGCTTGAAACCTTTGCCTGGTGTGGCTCCTTCCTTTCTCTCCCTTGAAATTTCTTCCTGGTGTAGCTTCTTCCTTTTTCTTCCTTGGCAAACCCTCTTCAGGGGAGCAATAGGTGAGAGGACTGGGTCAGCCTAGTCACTCCTCCCAACTGTGATGAGTGTGTGTATACACATGCCACAGGGTAGATGGAGAAGAGGTTGCTGATTAAAACACACTCCCCCTGAAAAGGGGAAGGGGGAGTGTGGCATTTTCCTTCCATGTTAAAGTGAAAATAAATTAACATACCCTGCAGCCCTTTTCCCCTTTGCTTTCTTTTGACTTGAGCAAAGGGCATTATAGGTGGAAGTGAAGTAACTCAGTACCAACTCCTCCTTTTTACTTCCCCCTTCTCCAGCCCTTCTCGCAAGCTTGGGAGAATGGAGCTGGGATATGCACTGAGTGTTGCACTTTTATTTAGGTAGGGAGGCATGTTGAATAAAGCCAAGGAGGTCTACAACTAGAGCCCAGTCTAGCTGGTAAAATACCACCACCTCTTTCAACTCCAAAGGAGATATCCAACAGACTTTATGATGATTACATTTTTTTTCAATGCCAGTGATGCTCAGTCTTCAGCATAACTTCAGTTTTCAATGAAATAAAGTGACTAAAATTCCACCTTTCTGAAACTGAAATCTGAGCTCAGGTGAAAGTTTCTTCTTTCCCCAAAAGCTGAGCTTATGTTCCAGCAAGAGTTGAGGTCATCCAAGTGAGGGGAGCTGTGCCCAGGGCCTGCCCACAAGTTGCAGGAGTAGCAGGCCGCACTGGGGGTCTAACAAAAGTCAAAACATTTAAGACAGTGGGTGACCCAGATTGCCATAGAGGTCAGGCCTGCGGTGCTTTGACACAGGCAGATGGTGGCGTAACTGTCGCAAATAGTTAAGGTTGATTTGTGCAAGGCAGAGGCCTGGTCCATCAGAACAGCGGGCCACCACTGTTCCCCAGGGATCTACCACCATGCTGTGGCCGTAACTTGCTCTCTTCTCATGATGGTGCCCACACTGTGCTGCAGCCACTACATAGCACTGGGTTTCAATGGCCCGGGCCCGCAGCAACACCTGGGGGATGAGCAGAAGTGTGTTCACTTAACCACAAGCAGCAGCTAGTAAGTTAGAAATACAAAGTGAATGTTTCAGGCCAAATGTGTGACCCACCCTTTATGACCATTCTGATAATTGCCTAGGAAAAGTTAATTATTCTGTGACATATGAGAGCTAGACAACAGTCTGAAGAATGATCTTCAAAGGGAAGAAAATCTATATCAACTAGTAGGGCCAAGAAAGCAAACCCTTAGGTTTTGAATGTGTCTTCTTACCTCCCAATGGGCTGGGCCTGTTACAGTTCCAAAAGCTGAAGGGTAGGTAAGTATTTCAGCACCAGCCTGAGCCAATGCCAGAGAGAGTTCAGGGAACCGCATGTCATAGCAGACAGCTAGACCAATCTAGAATGAAAAATCGATTTAGTGTCCTGTTGGTCACAACATCTAGTTACAACCTGCTGCTCTACTCTTCAGGGCTTTCTGCCCTTTACTATCACTTTGAAAGTGTCTCCCCTCCCTCTTGTGCCTTTCATCCTCTTAACAACTCCCACCTTCCCGGCTGGTGTGCTGACAGGTGCCTCAAGACTGCACCCAGGCATGGTAGAGTTGCTTTCTTGCATGGGCCCCTGCCCTGGAAGCTCTACATCACACAGATGTGTCTTCCTGTAAGTGGCCACTACTGATCCTAGAGTAAAAGGGAGAAAGAATGATCGGTGTTGGCGCTCTAGAAGCCCAGCTTAGCTCATTTACTCAGTTCCAAAGGGAAGATGGTTTATAGACGAGGAACACGTACAAACATCCCTCAAAACCTGGCCCAAGGAAAGAGTAGAGAAACAGAATTCTGGAGATCTAAGTTGAGGCAGAAAGATCCTGGAGAGAGAGAAACTAAAAAGTTGTGGAGGCTCACCCTTGCTGTTAAGAAGCACATGACAATTGTAGATTTTCTGAGTCTGCTCCCAGTCTTGGCCACGCTCATGGAAACCACCCAAAGACAGCCAGAGTCCACATTCCCTGCGGGGGAGGGGACACTGGCAACTCTTCTCAAGGTTCTGTCTTTAGATCTGGCAATCCAGGGGTGCTGCCCAACAAAAACTACCTCTCCCTCCCCTTTTCCCTGATACCTGGCAAGCTGGGTATATTTTCCCAAAAGGTTTCCACCCAGTGGCTCAGACAGGTGTAGTGTCTCTGCAGAGTCCCGTGCTATGAAGTCAAATGCCTCAGGCAAGAAAGCCATGCAGGCACCCAGTCTGGCAGCCTCACGAACCAGTTCAGCACAAGTTTCAAAGTTTTGCTGCTTGTCTGGTGTCGATGTTATCTGGCACACGGCCACCAGGGGCAGTTTCCAGGAGGAGGTGGAGATGGCCATGGCTCTGGGTCTGTGAATGGCACAGACATGATTCTCAGATGTCTTAGCATGAGGGAACCCAAATTAAAGATAACGGGTTTAAATGGAGACAGGAAGGTTGGACTTCCTTTTATTCTGCTCTTATACTTACAATGACCTAGTCCTAGTGGGTTCACCTATCAAATATTCAGTGGTTGGTTAGCAACCCTGTGTCTCCCACCATCCATTCATTGAACATTAGCTGAGAACTATGTGAGAACTGGAGTCCTGATGTGACGCTGCATGATAATGCATTAAACTGCAAGGTTGGCAGTTCAAACTCACCAGCTGCTCTTTGGAAACCCTATACAGGCTTGCTATGAGTTATAACTGACGACATATAACAAGGTGAGTCCTGGTGAGGTGCTGTACCATAAGCACTGAACTGCTAATCACAAGGTTGGTGGTTCAAACCCCCCAGTTACTCCTTGAAATATACAGGTTCATTATGAGTTGGAACCGACTATAGAATTTAACATGTGCTATGCATTGAGGACACAACAAAAGGTTTACCTGCGTTGAACACCAAGTACTAAGAGTCGAGGTATCCAGAGTCCAGAACACAGGAGAGGGAGGAGCTGGCGACGAGGTCTGATGATGAAGGTCAGCCTGAAGAAGTTGAGAAATAAGGACACTAACCCCTTCTTGAAACAAAACATTTCTAGGATTCTACTTCTTCATTCTGTGAGGCTGAATCAGGGTCCTGCAGTAATCTCCCCTCCTCCCTAAGTCTTAAAAACAGTAATTATGGGCTACAGGAAGAGATGATCCAGTAGGGACGTGGTGGAAGGTGTTCTACTGGGTGCCAGATACTACGATTTACAGTGATGTCACATTATACTGAAGCCCTTTCGTCCGTCAAACGTTTCCGCGGTTCAAAAGTCATCTATGGGAAACTTCCTTGGTTTCCCCAAGCCTCTCAACCGTACATTGCACCTGCATAGTGTTAACCGACTAAACAGCACATTTCACCTTTTACCCAGGGAATCTCTGACGGGAAGTTCACCCTCCCTCGACCCGGCCACAAGAACTCAAATCCCAACGCGTGTCCCCATCTATACTCCAGTCAAACCGCCTCCCCCTCCTCTCCCAGGTGCAGCGCCTGTGTTGCACAAGTTAAAACATCGCAGGTGGAATTCACCGCGGCCAGCGGGATGGGAAATAAGTCCTACATGAAGATCCGGTCGAAACCACTCGCAGGACCCGAGGCACAGCCAACTCGAGTCACAGGAGCTGCGGGGCAAGTGGGAGGTAACTCCAAGACCGGACGTGACGCAAGGAAAGTGGGGGGTTGCGCTGAGCGGGCCGGAAACCCAGCAGACAGTGAAGATGGCGGAGAGCAGCGGTCGCGCCGGCAAGAGCAGCGGTGGCGGTGCCGGGAAGGGGGCGGTGTCCGCTGAGCAGGTGAGAAGTGGAGAACGCTAAGGAGAACAAACCCGGCTGGGTCCGGAGTTGATGCGTGGAGAGGGGGCCCTGTGGCATGGTTAGGCCTTTACTACAGTTGATATTTGCATGACCATCTAGAGAGGGGAAGGTCCTCGTCAAGTGGTCCGATGCCCCTCGGGAGAGAGTGGGCCAGTGAATAGGTGAGAGTCACGCTCCGCTGGGGTAGTGGGTGAACCTTGGGAGAATGCAAAACCCTGGGATCCAGCGCCTGGGAAGATGCACAGGTGTGAGGGAAGATGGATGGTCACTTTCCCACCTTCCCTTCCCACTCCCAAGCAGGATACGGTTGAGCTAGGCAGCTCGTTTGAATCCCAAGGGATGAAACTACGGGCTGGTTGTGTACTGTCTTACGTGATCCTGGAACCACTCTGACAGTCTCCTGCACTCTGCAGAGCCACGTGACTCACATACTCGAACAGTCTAGTGTTCTATACTATTTGAATCGGGAGTCTTTACTAGGTTGAAATTTTTGAGGGACCAGAAACCCTTTCCTGGTTTAAGTTTGCATTTTCCCTAATGCCTAGCATCATAAACAGTTGATAAATGAATCAGAAAGGCTTTGTGACTTGGAAATCATGGTTTGCTAATAGTAGGGCTAGTGGTAAGAAACCTACACAGTAGCAACGAAAACAACAGCATACAAATACAGAATGAATTAGCACTGAACTGTGAACCACAGGATCTGCAATTCGAGCCCACCAGCCGCTCAGCGGGAGAACGATCTGGCTTTCGCCACCCCCATCACACTGTGAAGATTCCCCCCATCACAAACCCTAAATGGTGTCACTCAGAGACTTGACAACAATCATGTGTTAATATGGTTGCATTTAAACTTAGCTCCTATAGTTAACAAGTTCGTGCATCAGTTGTTTATTGAAAGTTAGAACAGGAAAAGTTCCCTGGAATAGAACTTTTTTAAAAAAATAAAACTGCCCCCTGCCATCAAAGATCTCATAGCCTGGTGAGGAAAATATAAAAAAACATACAAAATACTTATGTAAAGCAGAAGACACGTGTCTTAAGAGAGATGTAAAGTGCTATGGGATTTTGGGGAGGTGGAAAGAGGTAGTTCCTGATCAAGAAGAAAAAATTTCTGCCATGTGCTCTCTGCTGGGTACAGGAAAACAGATAAATGGTATACTGTAGTCCTTGTTTTCAAGCAACTCACATACTTGCATGAGAAAAAACAAACAAACCAAACAAAAATTTTCAGTGTGCTATACAGTCCCTCCTTTATGATAGCTCAAGGAATGACCCTCTACCATAGCAAGAAGTTATGGGGTTCACACAGTGGAATACTGTACATCATTAAAGAGTAATGTGAATCCACAAAACATCTCACAACATGGATGAACCTGGAGGACATTATATGATTAGTTAAAGAAATCAATCACAAAAGGATAAATACTATATATCACAAAAAGTCAAGAAAAAATTTATGCACAAAAACATTCTTTGATTGTTACCAAGGATGGGTGAGAGAGGGAGGGAGTGGTGGTGGTTGTATTCCACAGAGTTGATTCTGACTCATAGCAACTCTGGATATATAGGGTTTCCAAGACTATAAATCTTTACGAGAGCAGAAAGCCTCATCTTTCTCCCATGGAGCAACTGCTAGATTCGAACTACTAACCTTGTGGTTAACAGCCCAGCTTGTAATCCACTACCCTATCAGGGCTACTTGAGGGAGAGGGAGGGAAGGAAAATTACTCATTAGATAGTTGATATGTATTAACTTGGGTGAAGGGAAAGGCAATACACAATAAAGGGAAGGTCAACACAACATGACCAAGAGAAAGGAAGATACTGAGAGGTATACAATCTTGTAGCTGCAATAACAGTAATAAACTCATTTACAAATGGATACATTGGTAGATAATGCAAGCTCAAGAGGTAAGGGATGGCTTACATATGCACATAGGAGTACACCTGTGAGCATATGTAGCTTTGGCAGAGGATATTCTACATATGTATTTGTAGGTGCTACAAATATATCCAGGTATATAGTAGAGCATACAGAGGGCACAGTTCTGCAAACCTGTTAATTATAATCAAACACCTTGAGGGACTAAGTCATTGAACTTGAGGGTTTACCTCGTTGGAAACAAGAAGAATTAGATGACGACTGGCTACCACTACTGAGTATTCTGATCTGGATCACAATAGAAGACTTGGACAGTATGGGAGAAAAATGTAGAACAAAATTCAAAATGATAAAAAAAACACCAGACTTACTGGCTTGCTTAAAACTGGTGGAACTCCTGAGACTGGCCCCATGAATACATTTCAAACTCTGAACTGAACCCACCCCTGAGGATCACTGTTCAGTAACAATAGGCCTATAAAGTGAACCAGCAACACCTGTGAGGAGCTGCTGCTCATAATAGTCAACGATACAGACCAAAAGAACAGCATTTGTCCAATAACAAAAGTTTAGCAGGCAGGAAGGGGCGGGAAAGATGGGTGATTGGATATGAGGAACCCAGGGAGGAAGTGGGAGAAGTGCTGTTACACTGATGAGCAATGAAATCATGAAAACAATAAATTGTTGAATGGCAAACTAATTTGTTTTGTAAACTTTCACCCAAATCACAAGAAAATGTTAAAAAAAAAAAAAGTTATGGGATTTAGGGAGTGGATTAGAAAGGGAACCTGTGGTGGAATGGGGGTGGCTAACAGCTTAAAAACAAGTACACTGGGATCAGATGGACCTGGGTTTGAATCTCATTTCTGCTATTTCTTTTCTATACGTGACTACCAATGAGTTTTCTAGGCTATTCCCATCTATATATAAAATACAAGGAGGCTTCAAAAAAGTCATGAAAAAACAAATGGAATTGGAATATACTGAAATTTCAGCACAAACTTTTTTTTTAACTTTATAGTGAATTGTGAAGGTTTATAGAGCAGATCATCACATTTTGCTTCATTAACCATGATTGCAGTCCCTTCCATGTACCTTCAGTTAACAGTGTTTACCTCTATTTCTTTTAACTCTTAAACTCCTCACTGTGTCTCCTGCTACCTTTGTTTTTCCTACCCTCTAGCCTATGAATAAAGGAGCTCTGGTAGCTTAGTGGTTACAATTGGGCTGCTAACCTCAAGGTCGGCAGTTTGAAACTACCAGCCGTTTTTCCTCTGGAGAAAGATTAGGCTTTCTGCTCCTGTAAAGATTTACAGCCTCGGAAACCCTGTACTAGGGTCGCTGAGTCGGAATCGACTCTGGTACATAACAACCTATGAATAATTCCTTCCCCCTCAACCCTTACCCTTTTCATCCCCCTCTCCACAGAACTGTCAAAAAATGTTTCATTTAGCAAGAAAATCTTTTCTTAAGTTTTTACATCAGTGGTCTCATACACTATTCTTTTGTGGTGCTGTGGGTTAGTGCGCCAAACTGTAAAGCCATTTGAACTGCAAGGTTGGTGGTTCAAGCTCACCAGCTGCTCCTCGGAAATCCTATACAGGGTCGCTATGGGTCGGAATCGACTCGACAGCACTTCATAACAACAACAAATTCTGGTGTGGTGCTGTGAGCTAATGCATCAGACTGTAAAGTCAATTGAGCTGCAAGGTTGGTGGTTCAAGTTGACCAGCTGCTCCTTGGAAACCCTATACAGTGTCGCTGTGAGTTGGAACTGACTTGATGGCACTTAACAGTGTCCTCCAGGACTCCTGGTGTGGCACTGTGGGTTAATGCGTCAGACTGCAAAGCTGTTTGAACTGCAAGGTTGGCAGTTCAAGCTCACCAGCTGCTCCTTGGAAACTTTATGCAGGGTTGCTATGAATTGGAACTGGTTGGAAGGCATTTAACAATAACAATGTCCTCCAGGTTCATCCATGTTGTGAGGTGATTTGCATTCATCATTATTCTTCAACATCTGGTAATATTCCTGGACATTTTGGTACATGTGTATGTACCAAAGTTTGTTTAACTGTTCTTCTGTTGATGGGCATTTAGACTGTCTGCATCTTGTTGCTATTATGAATAGTGCTGCATTGAACATGGGTGTGCGTATATCTATTCATGTCATGGTTCGTATTTCTTGAGGATCTATACCAAGTAGGCATTGCTGGCTCATACGTTATTTCTGTTTCCAACTGTTTGAGAAAATGCCATACTGTTTTCCACAGTGATCTACCATTTTACAGTCCCACTAGCAGTGTAGGGGGTTCTAGTCTCTCCACATCCTTGGCAGCATTTGCTATTTTCTGTTTGTTTGTTGTTGTTTTTTTAAATTTGCTATTAATGCTGAAATAAGATGATAATCTCATTGTTCTGATTTGCATTTCTCTAATAGCGTAATAGTGTGTCCCTGTGGGTTAATGTGCTGGACTGCAAGGTCACTTTGAACTGCAAGGTCACCAGCCTCTCCTTGGAAACCCTATACAGGGTCTCTGTGAGTCATTACTGACTCGATGGCACTTAACAACAACTAATGAGGATTCCTGGTGTGGTGCTGCAGTATAATGTACTGCAGGTTCAACAAGTCAGTTTGAACCACAAGGTTAGCAGTTCAAACCCACCAGCCACTCTTACCTTTGGAAACGCTATACAGGGTCTCTCTAGGTGAGAACTGACTTGCTGACACTTAACAACAATAGCTAATGATCATCTGCTTATCTTCATAATGTTTGTTGGCCCCCTGTATGTCATCTTTGGTGAAGTGTCTGTTCATATCTTCTACCCATTAAGTGAATTAAGTGATAGTTTACGTGGGAAAACATTACCTTTATATTCATCCTATT